TGGATTCCAGGAGGTCAGTGGGGCTCATAGGCTGAAGAGTGACTCACTTTTCCCGTGGTCTCACACTTTAGCAGCCTGGAAAGAGACCAATTTCCCTGTCCAGGAATTCTGGACTTCCAGAATGGACAGGCATGGACGATGTGCAGCAGTTGCTTTGCCACCTCCATTCATTGCTCTCCCTCAGAGTCCATCAAGGGTGACATGTCTGGACCCAAACCCAAGACTCCTTCCTCTCCCTCTCCCTTTAAGCTTCAGTCCTGCCAACGCAGCCTGGTCTCTGCTCAAGGCCACAAGTGCCGCTCACTGGCATGCGCCTCCTTCCTTCTACCTGGGGTCTCTCTCCTCTTCTCAGTGCCCTATGATGAGGCCTGAAGCCCACCAGGGGCTGCAGGGCCAGAGTAGACGGCCTGCCAAGGACAACCAGAGAGTCCCCCTCACACCATGGTTCTACTCCAATCAGGACTTTCAGTTTCTGGATTCAGGTCACTGCTTTGTATAACGGCTTCACTGTGGCTAGACACTACATAATGCAATGTTTTCTTTGTTGTTATCTTCTTTTCATAATACAACTAGCCTTCACATCCCTTCAGCCCGAAGCAGCAGAGATGGAAATGTTTTCAGAGAGATATACGAGAACAATCCAGGAGAGATTCCGTATCGGTACAGGATCTGCAGCAAGGACATCTCACTTTATCTCTTCAGATGTCCAATTTACAAATAGACTAATATAGAATTATACAACATCAGACTCACAACTAGCCCTCAAGATATAAACTTGAATAGAGAAAAATAGTGTTGCTCTATGTATTTGTCATGAGGTCAGCCAAAGAAGATCTGGAATCAGAGGGGTTAATTACAGCTGAGGAAAATGCTGGGCGATTAGTATCACAGACAGATGAATCGCCACCAGATTCTCCTCCCCCACTAGCCAGAGTGAGAGATAAGCTTGGTCAGAGACTCACAACATGGAGATCTGAGGCTCGCATGAATGCTTCTCACAGGAATGTCAGGTCAACCAGCCCTGAGTTTTAACAGGATTGAATGTTTCTAAGAATTAGATGATTGTTGCTGCTATATAACTTCTACCCAGAGGCCTGGAAGCAACAAGTCAATTCCTTGGCTGGTGGCCATGCTTCTGCTTATCTTGAACCTTGGTCTCTTGACACTTGGCTTTTGGACTCTAACTTCGGTTTTTGGATTTGACAATTTGGCATCTGTTTTGTATCTCCTGGGCTTCTGACCTTGGACTGGTCTACTGGACTTTTGCCTGCTGAATCCCCTGGGAACGTGACAATATTTGGCCAAAACAATAATCTAATCAGGCCTTTTTTTGTGTCTCCATGTTGGAGGAAAGAGACCAGGAGTGCTGATGGGGTAGTACAACAACCTCTACAGATCCTTCTCTTTAACTCTGGCACTTGCAGGGTAAATATGCAAAGATGTGACCTGATTAAAAGTGGGGAAAAGGAAATTCAAGCTATCAGTATGCTAACAGGAAGATGCTCAGCTGGTGGCTGATGGCAAGCAAGAATGACAGCTTCACCCCTCCATGAAGCCGAAGACCTTTCTCACCACATGCCAATCACTGTAGGGCTGGGGTGGGTCTCTGAGTAAGATAACTGGGATGGAGCAGCTACTCTGTATGACTTTTTGCTTCATTTAGGGGATATCAGAATCAGTCTTTATTCCTCTCTACACTTTTGTTCTCTTTCCTTGTTGGTGCAATAGGGTCCCTGCTGTCTCTGGCTCCTCGTGATCTCTAGGGCAGGAGGTCGGCAAATAATCCTGCCAGAAATAATTCTGACAGCACAGTGTAATCCCTCACCCAAAGTTTTAACCTGGTGTTTTTTTTTCTTTGTAAGAATGGGACATCTTCTATTCATTAAGTAAATAATAGCATGGACCAAGACAAGGATCAGATCAGAGAGCTTTAAATGTTTGGAAGTGTCCCTTGCACAACTTTGCATGCATGGGAACAGCTACAGAAGCCACCCAGTATTGTGCCTCATGCATGCAAGCTTTAAACCATGGGGAGAGGATTGCAAGGGACAAACTCCAGGGCCACCCCAGAGCCCTTCAAAGGGAAAAATAATAATCAAATTGCACATTTTTACTACTACAAAACAGGCCCTAGGAGCATCGGTTTTCTTCTACTCAGCTTTGGGCGGGTCTCTCAAAACTTTCGCACTTCTACAAAACAGAACCAACTAAGTGGAACTGTCTCACATCTTGTCTGATTTCTCCCCATTTAACAATGGCAACATCCAGATATTTTGGGGCCTGGAACAGTCCTTGGTAGGAGGTGGAGCCTTGAATTTTGACCTTAAGCCTTTGGATGTTGTCTACCTATGCTGTAGTATTGTGCCTCATGCATGCAAGCTTTAAACCATGGGGAGAGGATTGCAAGGGACAAACTCCAGGGCCACCCCAGAGCCCTTCAAAGGGAAAAATAATAATCAAATTGCACATTTTTACTACTACAAAACAGGCCCTAGGAGCATCGGTTTTCTTCTACTCAGCTTTGGGCGGGTCTCTCAAAACTTTCGCACTTCTACAGAACAGAACCAACTAAGTGGAACTGTCTCACATCTTGTCTGATTTCTCCCCATTTAACAATGGCAACATCCAGATATTTTGGGGCCTGGAACAGTCCTTGGTAGGAGGTGGAGCCTTGAATTTTGACCTTAAGCCTTTGGATGTTGTCTACCTATGCTGTGCAGAACTGTTTGTAGAACTGTGCTAGCTATTTTCTCTTCATCTATTGTTCCTTGCAACTGCGTCCCTTCAGCTTCTCAACAAATCATTTTCACTGACTAAGCAGGGGATAAATTATATGCCTTGCAAGCTATCTTTCAAAGTTGAAGTCTCCAATTGGATCTTCCAGGTATATGTTCTTAAGCAGCCCTAAAATCAGAAGCTGTTCATCACCATTACAGATGATACAGCTCGGTGGTAAAGTCATAATTAACAATGATGAGGAAGCTGCTGCTCATATTCTGAGGACAGGAGAGTTGTTTTAAAAATGTGCAATTTAACAAGTAGCCCCTCTTTTCTGGCACTCCCTCTGAACACTAGATGTTAATGACCATTGGCCAAAAGTTATAAAAATCAATTAAATGATATTACAGTCTTAAGTTCTGTATTCATCATTCTAATATTTAAGAACACCTGCCTTAAGAAACTGCAGTCCACCTCATTTGGTTATATAGCTTGCACTGACATCTTTTTGATGGAGAGGCTATTAATTAATAACTAATCCAACCTTATTTCAGGAACCTGAAATTACTACAAATTAAATCATCTCCAGGCAAAGGTCTAGGAAAAAAAAATCTACCATTTTAGGCAAATTCAAATGTCTCAATAGATTCAACTTCAGAGATGAGAGCATAGTTGAATTTAAAGAGATTTTAAACCTTTTTTCCACCCGAAAGACTAAATAAATACTGTATTGTACTCTATAATTTGTCCTGGAGCTCCTTAGGACTAAGAATTGTTCCTAGGGAGAGCAGAAATTCATCCATCAAATACCAAAAGCAAGCTCAATCTATAGAAACTCAAGTAAGACCTATCATTGACCAAACACACCAGAGATGGTGAATGGGTAGCCATCTTGGCTTCTCCTGATCTGTTGCAGGACTTTGAAGGTGAATAGGTCCCTATTTAATTTAGGGTTTGGGACATAGCTCAGATTCCTAGACACCAGAGCTACCTTTTAAATGCACGACTTTGGTATTTGACATTGTCACTGTTGACAGAAATGAAGCAGGGACTTATTCATGTCCTCTCCCCCCTCGCGGCCTGGAGGATGACATTACAGTTGAACAAGCAGGCAGACTGTCAAGGCTCAGACCATTATGAACAAAGGTTCTGAACTGAGGAAAAACAGAAGGGAACTGAAGAAAGAGAGGAGATAATGCCGCTCCTGCAACACGAACAAATCACAAAAGTACACTGAAAAATCTTACTGAGAAATAATAACGGTGGAACCACTTGAAGAGCTGCATGGGACCATAAATATTGGATAGGAATGTGAAGGTCGTCTACTCCACCCACAGCTCAAGGCAGGATCCACATTGCAAGATAAAGCTACAGCATTCCTGTTGGATGGCCACCAAGCCTTTGGTTAAGTATTCAAAAAATGAGAGGCAGGCAGTGTATTCTACCTTGATATGTTGGTGATTCACTATACAGTACTAGGAATGTGCTTTGTAACCAGACATATGCAGAAATTGTAACTAAACAATGTCTGTTGGTGCATAGGGCAGTGCTTCCCACCCCCTTTTGAACTTTTTTGGGGGGCTGCTCTTGGTGCAACATACACTGCTTTGGCCACCATTAACATATTAGCTAGGTTTGCTCCCTGTTATATGAAGGAGAATACACTATTCTCAGTCAAAGTTCAGAAAACAGAGTGTTCCCTTCCATATGACACTTTAGCCTCCTCTTCAACACTGCTGGAATTGAATCTAAACAGAGATTGGAAAAGTTTAATATTCTGCCCAGAACATTAAACTAGAATGGACTTTTCCCAAAATTAGTTGCAGCTCCCAGATTCCTGGGGGATTATTGAAATTCTCATAAAAAAGTAATTTTTATATGCTTTATGTCTAACCAGCATGCCCTTAGGGAGATACATGTTAGCTACTTGTCACTTTATTTCTGTTTTTTGGTGGCTGGCTGTGAATTGGAAAACAATAGCTTTCGACAGAGAGTGGGCTGATAAGCACACCCACCCCCACCCACCCCCACACAAATACACTGTTTGTGTTTCCTGTCCTTCTAGAAAGCCAATTCACTCTCTCCCTCACAGAGAAAACACAATTAGAGAAGACCCACTGAACAAGAATGTGTTCCCAGAGTCTCTCCACCAGGCGAGGCAAACCCAGAAATGTCATTTCTAATTGGATAGAAGTTTCCTGTGTCATTTCCACTGCTTTTGTTTTGTCATCTCTGCTACAGTTCCATTTCACACATTGCTTGGAAGCAGAACAGCCTAGGATCCCAGATGGGAAGATCCAAACAGCCATTAAAAGATCTGGGAAAAAGTGAGATTTCATTGTAAGGCATTTCTTATATAGCAGCCAAAGTAGTGCCCATTGACCTGTTCCATTTCCTCCTGGTGATGTCATATCCTTTTTGTGTTTGGGGGCAACGAGGAATTGGAGGTTAAATGCATAAAATCAAACTAGAAAAACGAGTGTTCCAGAACATGGTCCAGATACTAGGAACAATCTGAGGGCCTTCTACTTCTTGGGATTCAAAGCAAGAATTGCAAGGGATCTGGAGAAAGATTCACCATTCATCAGCTTAGGAGGGCTGAGTGGATGGAAGGAGCCAATTGAATCCTAATATAACTAACTGTGTGCTGCTAAGTCAATGTTGACTTAAGGTGACCCTTTCCATGATTTTCTAGGTAAATATCAAGGGGGGGGGGTCATCCTCTTCTCCATTTGTACCTATTCCTCCATAATTCCTCCTCATACTTTCAACACACCCAGTGGGAGTTTGCCACATGGGTGGCTCCAGCAGGTTTTGTGTACGCAGCTTGCTGGACCCCATTATAACAGTTGCATAACAATGATCAAATATCTGAGTCATAATGCTTTATGTGGCCTTGAGTCTCTCTGGCATGTTACTAATAATTAAAACGAGGGAGGTGGTTTTGTTTTTAATAAAGGAAATTGGATAAGAAAAGCAGTGTGATTTGCTAGCAATATTTTGAAGTTAAAGCATAAACACACTGTAAAAGGCAACATCACATTTTTCTCTCTGCCTTCATCCCCACAGGCAAAAATTACTTATGAAAAAGAAGTGTGTGGGGAGAAATGAATCATTTCAACTTAATTACCAACCTTTGGGTATTCTGTAGCAGCATTCAAAAGCAAAATTTAAAGGCCCTTTTCTGCATCTGCTTCTGGGACTGGAAAGTGAGGTTCTTGTGGAGAAGAAATGAAGTTATTCTGCAAGGAGCTGCAGAGAAACTTTTTTTCTTACTATTGATGACAATTATTATTATTACTCTGCACAGAATGCCATAGCCTGTGGCCATTTTGGCTGTGGGATTCAAACTCTACCAGCAATACTTAAAAATCTCCGGTGAAGAAAGCCCGTTGCCTTCTGAGGCAGCCCATTCAATTGTGAAACAGCTCTTACTATAAGGGCTTTATTTGTAATGTTTGTTCAGTCAAATTCTCCTTTCTTGTAATCTGAATCCATTTGTTTTGGGGTCCTACCTTCTGGTAGTACAGAAAATAAGCTTGCTCCATTTTCCATGGGGCATCCATTCAGATGTTTGGAAATCTTTCACAATCCATGCCCACCCCAACAATGTAAGTTACTTTGGTGTATTAATCTTTGGACCCTAATGAGTGTTGGTTGCATGTTTTGTGTCCATTTTACTTCAAAGCTGCAGTTTACAGTACGTTTGGACTTCTTTCTCCTTTGTTCTTTACTACACTTAGCATTTGGTCAACCTTTCCTGTCTAGCCCCAGGGTGGGTCTCACTCTTATATACCCCTGACAAAAATCCACCTGGTAAAGGAGTTTACAAGAAACTCTGCGAAGGAGTCTGTCTTTCCCTATTAATGTATAATTCTTGATCGTTACACACTTTGAGGACAGAAGAGTTACATTTAAAGAGAGAGAGAGAGAGTGCCAATAGCATAATCTCTGAGGAGCACAGACCAAAATCTGTCTTACAACTCATCCTACTATGCAGGGTTAGAAGATAAAGGCTTCAGGAAAGGCCACATCCCTCCCCCCTTTCCACATTATCAGGACAAACCAGAAACCTGTTTAGCCTCAGAAGCTCTCATACTCATAAATTGCAGAGCCAGTAAACTCCAGACAAAGGTAACTGAGAGCAAATATATTAATGCATGCCGGTAAAAGCCATTTCTGCATTAAGAAACAAACAGAAGCCCCATCAACACAAATTCTTTGCATGAACCCTGGAAGCATTAAATGATTGGGTATGAGTTACATGGCAGGTCTCCCAGATTCATAGTTTCACAACAACTCAGACAGTATTTTTCCCTAAACAGTGTCTCAGGGAAGTATAAAATTAGCGATATGAGCATATTTTATATTATGGGTGGTGGTGACACATCCATGAAAATGCATTACCTTTGAATGCAGAAGCTGGAAATGTCTTGAATTATGTCAGCAGCTGACATTCTAAATGTTCTGACTAAACATTAAGAATTTCTTGAGAGTAAGCCCTGTTTGGTGATAGAATAGACAACGTATCTTTAGCAGGGATTTCTGAACAGAGATTGGATGGCTACTAGTCAGGGATGGTTCAACGGTGGGTTTCTTTTTCTGGAGGTCCTTTGAGGCACAAGGACAAATGCAAGCAGCTGTTCATCTGCAGGAAGTGGGAATCGCCTGCTTGTTACAAGGCGAGGAAACAACTGTCCCACTGGAAGGAAATTAGTGCCCCGCTGACTTTTGTCTCTTTCAGGTAGACGCATAAACCCTTGCATTCTTCACCACACAGGTGGGGACAAAGAACTGGAAAATTATTCTACCCATTAGGTGAAAGGGTGAGATATTCTGTGGCAGTTTTTACAAAAGAATGAGGTGGAGTAGCTAAGTAAGAACACTGAGGAAAGAAAACTTCAATGCAAACAATTCAGAATAAGCACAATGACAATGGGTGTTGCTTTGATGCAGAGACTTTGAAGGTTAGAAGCACAAAAGGTGTGGTTTGCAACTTTTACAATTTTCCAGGTCTTCTGTGCTTGCTCTCTGCATGAGCAGACATATACCCTTCAATACACGCTATGTTTCCAAAGGGCAAATAAACTAGTTTTCATCAGAGACAGTTGGTGGAAATAACAGAGACCCTGTCAAGAAAAAAATAACACTCCTTGCGTCATCCCTCTTTGGAGGTGAAGAATCTTGAGGGGCTTGAATACTCCTTGTCAACAAGGTGTCTCATCAAGTGAGACAGTTTAAAATGGATGAAAATAAAGAGTTAGGAACTAGTCTTTACATCTTTACTTTCAGGCCATTTCTGTGCCACACATGACTTAATGATGTTACAGTTTTGCAGCCATATTTGCAGTTACTGTAAGCCTCAACTTTGTATCAGGACCTGAAGTTGTATTTATAGCAGAAAATCCATGGATCATAGTGCCCTGTGTGATGAGCCACTGGAGATGGGAGTTTGGGGTGTAGGTGGTGTGAGGAGGACAGGGACACCCCTGATGAGCCACTGTGCTTCAACCAGGGTCCACACGCACATTGTCCCATCACCTAAAGAGCCCATCACAGAGGTTCCTGCACAGGAGCCAGAAGAGGAGAACACAACCATATGCAACTCCCTGGAGAGTGAGGCCAGAACAAGAGCATATGTGGTGATGTCAGACTGGGGGACTGGAGGCACCCAGTTAGAGAGAAGGGGGTGGTACTCTACCCTACCCTGGATAGTAACAATTATAAAGGAAGCCCTGCTGTTAAGGGAGGAAGAGATAATACAGAGCCTTAGGGAAGAGGCTGTCTAACAGAGGCCAGAAAGAAGAGGGAGAGGGAGAATACTGGAGAGTTAGGAAAAGAAGGCTCAGGGACAGCGTGAGAGAGGCTTCCAGAGGTTGGGAAGAATACAAGGAGAACCCAGAGGAAGAAACCTGGGGGTCATTTTGGAAGAGGGGGCTGGGACCTACTGGGACAGAAGTAGGACTCCCCAGAAGAAGAGGCAAAAGCCCTAGTCCTCACCTTTACAAATAAAAGTGACTGCATCACTGGCCCTGAAATACCCACATATTTCTTATTATTTGACAGCAAATGAAGCTACAATAAGGGGAGCCTTTTGGAAACTATCCCACAGCTGGACACCCCACAGCTGCTCAGACTTGACAGTTCAGAACTTGAAGCTTCCATGTCTGGAACAATCTCAATACCTTCTGAATGTGGTACCAGTGCCGGGATGAGCTGCTCTTCTCTAGGAACTCCAACATCCGAGAAGCCGGCCATGCAATGTCAGCAGCATGCCTGGCAGAGGCCTGTGGTAAGGTGATAAAGTGCCAGGCTTCAGATCAGGGACTCGTCTTTTAAGGCTTCCTACTTAGTAGGAAGTGGTGGAACTTGGAGGGAGTAGCTCTGGAGGAAGAGTGCAATTGGTTTTGGCTCAGTACCAGTCAGCTTTAAATCAAGATGCTCACCGGGAGCTATCCATGGTGCTGCACTTTCTGCCTACCTTGCTGATCTATAGGCATTCGAGACTAGCCTAAACTTTAGGGGTAAATAAGCTTTTTGGATTTTCTCAGAAAGCTCCCAGCTAGCAGTGATGCAGGAGCAGGAAGATTCAGCAGAGCGTGGCCTCAGAGCTTTCAAATTTAGGCCTTTCTTCTGTGTTCACCACACTGGATGCTTGGGTGGTATCTGTAAGATGGGTAGAACTCCCAGAATGGAGAATTAGGGTATTTTTAGTTGAGAAATAAACACCCATGTTTATTAAACATGACAACCCCTCCATCTGGAAAATTACCCAAATAAACCATCCATTGGTTGATTGGATCCAGTCCTTGACACCTGCTTTTGCCATGGTTATGGTGGTGGAGATGACTGTAGCAAAAGCCTTCATCTGTTTTGCATTTGGACACAAGAGTTTTTTACATGAGATATTATGCTTTTTAGCATGGATCAAGAAATCCCACCCTTCTAAGTCAAGATAATAGTACCTATAATCAGCCAAGTTACTTTGCTGCTTGCGGCTGAAAATTCCACCAGTTCCTTTCCTTCACTTGGCAGCTAAAATAGAGTAATAAGTAATTTATTAATTAAAACAATTTGCTGGCCTTATAGGAGACTAAAAAAATCTCTTGACTGTGGAAGCTGTCTCACTCTGCCTAACAGTAGGGCTAATCCTGTCTGGCAGCCAGTGAAGCCCAGACAGAGCCACCATCTGAAGAAGACAAGCCATATACTGCCAAGATAATGGAAGTTTGCCACCACCAGACATAGTTTGAAGGAATGTCATCTGTGCCAGGATTGTTGTGTATTTTTTTTGTATTTTTTTAAAAGAATGCTAAAACAGTTCTATCCAAAACATGAAGGACCACATTTCTTTTAACACTTAGAATTATTTACCACTGAAATAAACTGCAACCAATATGTGATTATGGGAGGTGATTGATTTATTTTGCTCCAAGCAGATAGAGCCCATGCTATTTCAAAACTCTTGCATGAATGATTCCGTGCATCTTGCGTTCTGGGTATCGTGCAGTCACAGCAACTCATAACACAGCAGGAGGGAAAAGAGAGAGGGGTTGTCAAACTGCTAATCTTGGCATCAGCATCCATAAGGAAGCCCTTGTCTTTGGAGAGATTGCATATCTATCAACGGCACAATGCCCTGGAGCCCTACAACAGTAGATGTATAAACAGAGTTTTAACAAAGGCCCTTGCCAAGGACAGGCTGCGGGAGCACCAGCACTTGAGAGACATTATAAGAAATACATGATTTCTGTCTTTGTCTGTCTGCCTTCCCATTTCAGATTTTGTAAAAGATGACTTCACTGTTACCTGTATCTCCCTGCCCCATTCAACACCCCCTTTCTTTCACTGGGAGTAACGGCCCTCTCTGGTTGATGGGGTGGTATACCTAAGACCTGACAATGAACAGTGGATGGTGGAAAAAATGTTGGCAGAAAGGCACATATTCATTATCTCTCTCTCTCTCTTTCATTTATCCATGCAGAGGTGCAACCCCACCCTCACCTTGCTCATTCACTCCACATCTCAGTTGGGCAGTGAAAAAAATACACAGTGCCTCCCAAGACCAGCCTGTATAACCTTGGGCAAGCTGCACAGTCCCAGAATGTTTACTCAGGAAGGTAAAAGTGAATCACTTTTGAGTACTCCATATTTGGAAAAGGATGTTGTAAGCCAGTGTTGGCTGGACAACCCACTATTATTTATTCTATTGTATGATGCTGTCAACCATTTAGAAAACAAACCTTCTACAATATTTATTTATTTTTATTTATTTAAATATTTTTACCTTGTCTGTCTCTTTATAAAGGACTGAAGGTGGTTTATACCATGGGAAGACAATATTTAAAGCTAAGAAGAATGGATATAAAGAGGCAGCTTGCATCATTAAAAGAGATTAAAGGTAAAACAATAAGTATACAAATATTTAAAAGAAACAAACAAATGCCACTCTGAGAGATGGTAAACAGAAGTAGTACTAAAGACCCAGTGAGAGCAGTAAAGCATAAACAATCCATTTAATAACCCCACTTAGGCAGCCAGTCATTGAGGGAAAGCTGGCCAGAAGAGAAAGATGTTCGCCTGCTTGTGGAAGGACAGCAAAGATGGGGCCAGTCTGTCCCCCTGTGGGAGGGAGTTCCAAAGTCTGGGAGCAGCAGTAGAGAAAGCCCAGAGGGTTTCTGTCTTTTTCAGGACTGAAAGAACAGAAGCTCATGGGGGTTCCTACCACACTAAAATAATCAATTAGTATAGGAGTTTTCAAAGAAACTTTTCACGGTTATTGTTCACATTTTATGCCATTCTTTTATCAATGCTGTTTCTTCCCTCCTCAAAATAAATAATGAAAATGAAAACATAGCGCAACTAATGCAATGAGGTACTATGCCCACCCAAAATTAATAACTATGCCGATTTTTGAAAGCACTGTTAAGGAGAAACGGAAGATTTTTTTTTAATGAAAAGTAACTATCCAAGCTCTAGTTTTTGTCACATTAAACAAACTAGACTTTAGCAAATCAACTGCACATGAACATAACTGTCAAAGACAGTGCTACTCCTCATGATAATCACATCTCCTGCGCAAGAAAGCAAGGTTACAGATGGTTACCTCTAAGACATTAAATTCCATTTAATGAGCCCCGTGTTACGGAACTCTTTTGCAAGGACATATATTAAAGTTTGGAATCCACTGCTGTAAAGTGTAACGAAGCTATCAAAAAGTATGCAGAGATTTCTCATTGCCACATATCTTTAAAATTAAAAAAAAATAGTAGGAGGTTTAACAGGTGCAAATTTGGATCATGAACTTATCTCTTTGAGTTCAAACCTTTAGTACACAGTGAATGTCACTCTGTATTCAATATCACAGTTAAAATTGTACATACTGATAAGTAATTACAAATGTACATTTTTCAAGAACATATTCAAATGAGCTACAAAAAACCAGCACCACATAGTTTAGAAATAAAAGCAGCAGAAATTAAGGTGAGCTTGAATTAATTATTCTTCTAAAGCTTCATTAAAATGAATAAGTAATTTATCTAGAAAAAATTTAAAGTTACCAGAATGTATCTTTGTGAAACAGGTATAAAAGGAGTAAATTCTTGCCCTCTGAGACAACACACATGGTTTCCCCTTAAGTCTCCATTTATTAAGGTATACACCTGCCTCCTTTGACAGCAAGATGGAGCTTCCAAATTCAGAACATTTTTTGTCTCCCACTCATGAAATCAAATGGAATCAAAGACCTTGGGCTGTGCGTGCCTCTGCGTCTATTTGTGCATGTGTGACTGAGATGCCAAAAAGGAGTTGTTCATTTTGTAGCAACATAGTGAACAGATATGAACCTGCTTTATCATGTGTGTGTGCATACACACACAGTTGTGTTAGAATGTTAGAATACCTTGTCCTTTTTTTATTAGGCAAATAACAAATAATAATTCTTTGTCGTTAAGTCAGTTGTGACTCCTGGCAATTCTTTCCAGCGTTTTTCCAAGTATAAAATTTGACAAGGCACTTGTCCAGCAGGTCAAGGCAAAGAGACAGTCCCTAAACCAGCAACATCAGGGAGCTGGACAGGGACAGACTGTATTTGTCCTCAGTGTGGAAGGGATGATCACTCTCGAATTGGCCTTCTCAGCCACACTAGATGCTGTTCCAGGACCTCTATTCAGAGCACGTTACCATAGTCTCTCGAGACTGAAGGATGCCTGCAAGATGCTCACTATTCCCTTCTTCTGGGGGCACTCTTGGACTGTGTAGCTTGCCAAAGGCTGGCTTTTTTTTTCCTGGGAGGCACAGTGGAGAATGGATCTCTTGACTTCTGGGTTTACAGTCAGATACTCAACTCACTGTGCTATTCAGCCAGATAAAGATTACGTTTTTGGCGAGGGGGGCATTTCTTTAGCTGTTCAAAATGTGTTGCATATATTGGCCAGAATCCAATGTCTTATTTTTCCTAGATCCCAATGTTTCTGCCACGGTCAGCCACACCTGCCCCCCTGCCCCACAAATCCCCAGGGAAACCCTCTGCCACAGAGGGGTGCAGCAGGAGAAGAAAGAGAAGAGAGTCGTGATTCTGCGATGGTGGTTCAACAAAGTAAACCACTGGATCATGGCCATTACCACTATACAACTGCAGAGATTACTATTCCTATTATTTCAGCCAGCGAGACCATTATTCAGTCAAATGAAAGAAGTAAGTCACTGCAAACTATTTTTTTCCAGAATGCACCACAAGCCTGGAGATGTATGGATTTCTGCCTAAAACATGCATCTGTACCCCATTCCATCCAGGACAGAAAGAATCAAGCAAATTCATTTTTTTTTAAAAAAAGGAAGAAAATAAATCATCTTAGAGTCTGTTCTTGACAAATTCTGACTCAGAATGACAGAGGTCACCTCTTTAACTCCAGTTAAGTACATTTACATGTACACAACATTCTCACCATCCTAAGGAGCATTGTGACTGCAACAGCAGAGCTTCCGCTGGCCACCTTGTCCTCTTTTCTACTGATAACAGCTAAAAGGTACACATCCTGAAGGTAACCCCAGGCTCTGAAAAAGGAAAGCCCCAGTTTCACCAAGCTGCAGTTAGGAAGCTACGCCCAAAGTTCCTTCAAACACGATCCCTATTCTGTACACAAAGGAGTCACAACTTTGCACAAAATTAAGACAACTGCATTGCACAACTATTTTAAAGACATTGCCCCTGGCCATGCCTCCTTTGAGCACATTTTACAGGCCAGCAGCGGCAAAATGCACAATGTGAGAAGACAGGCAACCGACAGAAATCCAAAGGAACATAGCAGCTTTCTTACCATAGAGAGGATCCCTCTGTTCCAGTGACCTCCAAAAAGTCATATTCATCCTCTAATTGGAAATCCAGGAACACCAAAGCGATGGTGTCCCCGGGCTCTGCTAGAATGGTCCATGTGCAGTCAGCATTGTTGCTGTACTCCAAAGGGTAATGTGGGGTTGAGATAATTCCACTTTGCCCTCTTAGTGTCCCACCACAGGCATCGTCCGCTGAAAGGCAAAAACACACAAAAAACGGAGCTAGGAATGCTTTGTTGAAAAGGATGCATGACCAAAAAAAATTAAATAAATGCTGATGAGTTCTGAAAGGATGCTCCACCTCTTTTTCACCTTCCTGTCAACATATAACAAGCACTCCTGGGCCTGCTCAGACTCAACTTGATATGAAATAGAGAGAGGAGGTCAGCAGGAACAACCTAGTAAATGGAAGAGAACAAAGGCGTCCTTCATTCTAGCAAGCAAGCCATACCTACACCTGGTTTTTAAAGTATTCTAGGAATATCACATGTGGAAATGATTTGCTTGCTAGTTCGCACTTCAATATTATTAGATGGTATCCGATAAGCTCTTAGAGCTCACCTAAAATACCCTGTTGCTTCACTGTTATATTTCGTGACCCTCTTTTAGTTCAATTTGAACAGCTCCAGGACCTCCTGGGTTGAACAGAGAGAGAGAGAGTACAATTAAACAAAGATAAATATGCAGTTGAAGATGCATGCTGAAATAGATGCTGGTGTTTTGATGACTGCTGGAGGTGTGTGGATTTTTTTAAAATATATTTTTGCAATTTTCTGAGAAGGCAGAGGACATTTGATTGTGGGACAGGAAATACTCTGGCATTCCAGCTCTGTTAAGCTGATATCCATGATTTTTCCTGCACCTTCCTTAGAAACTGTGTTCTGTGGGAAACTAAAAAGGGGCTGTTAGCCACCTGTACTGTGAGAGACTTCACTGAATTCTCCCAATAAACATAAATCCTATAATCCTAAAAGTAAAGGGCAGTAAACCTTGTTCTATCTTTTGCCCTCAAGCCTCTCTTACATTTCCTGAGGGTACTTTTGAACTGCATAAGGTTTTTCCCAGTGCTAATCTGTACCTCAACTCACGACACAGTCAGATCCAATATGTTTGTATTTCTGGCAAGCATAGCAAAACTTTTCAAACAGGATCCTTTATTTATATCACCTACATAGAAGTTTTCAAAATAATTGTTTTGCAAAGATGGTTCCTTAGAGAAGGAATCACATTTAGTTGCTAAATGGACAAAACAGAAGCATTTCCTGGAAGAAATTTCATGTGAAATGTCTGCAAGCTTCTTCCTCAATTTTAGCAATCTATACAGAACCTCTGAAAGCCAAATGCATTTATCTGTCAGAAGATCTTCTGAATAAATGTATATCCAGGGAGCTTTCATAGAGGGAGGCTGCCAGTGATTTCTTGGACAACACGGCTGCTTTCTGACAGTCATGTCTTTGTTGTCGTCAGAAGCCATACAAAAAAATCACAAGCCACACAAGAATGTTGATTGTTTATTCTGCTTTTGTGCTAGCCTTTCTTTCCTCTTCTCAACACATTATGACAAACAGGAACTTTTCAAGTAATTTACCATTTCATCCAAGCTGAGCAGCTATTATTATTGATTTGGAACAAACCAGCAACTGAAACCACAGATACAAGCAAGCCCACAAGGTTGATTTGTATCTGGACTTGTTAAGCCAATATATGACCATCTTTATGTAGCTAATAAGGCTCAGCAATGTTGTTGATAATGGCTGCAATCCAGTCCTAAGCTACTGCTAGAGTAGGCCTACTGAATCGGTGGAAATTATGGAGGAGCTGACTCACCAACTTCCCACTGACTCTGTCAGCCTACTCTAGTGACAACCTACTATGTACTGGATTTCAGCCCATGTGCATTTATGGAAGGGGCTCTGCACTTTTAAATGAAACAGCAGTGTTCCTTGTCATAGACCGCAATGTTGCACAAACCTTTTGCACAGCACCGTTCTGAATAATTTGAGAGCAAATGACCCAGTGCAGGAGCATGAAGAACGGACTGCTGTGACAATAGCACACTTTAGAGCTCTATCTACAGTCTGATTAGCATCTTAATAATAAAATCAATTCTTTCTTATCCAGGGCTTAAAAAAATAATAGTCAGTATCTCCGGGCATGGGATGAAGAAACAAGCAACCCAATTTATTATGAGCTGGTGAAATTCTGAAAAATGAATAATTGATTCCTGCAAGTTAAGAGAGCAATCAATTCTCGTGGAAAGGTTGAGAATTACGACCTCTTGTTGCTTAACTGGATCTGAATTGGGTGGAATGTGTAACTTAGAAATCAGTC